GTCAGTTCTACTCAGTCCTATAGGGTTGCTGTGAGCGATACACGTACACACTGGTAATTGAAGTTTTTCAAATCTTATGTAACATAAAAGTATGTATCCATTACTCAGGTTGGAAGATGCCCTGGGCCTCCGAAGGCTTCCTTACCTTAGCAAACTGTTGACTCTAAAGTCACTCCGAATCAGGAGAAAGTACTTAAGAAATGCTTAGCTTATTATTTTAAATAGAGAATAGCCAGGTATTGGTTGTAATGACTTTGGAAATATATGGATTTAGCTACATTTTAGTAGGTGGATGTTCAGGATGTCTTTAGATTAATGTAAATAATACTCTACAGAGGTGAACTGCTTCACTAAATTCTTCAACAGCGTGTAGGAGCATTTACTGGAGTCTTTGTGAGAGATTGTTCTAATTAGATGTCCCTCTCACTAAATTTGAATCTATTAAAGAATGATTTTTTAATAGCTTTTTTTCTTTTTTGTTGGAATCAAGTCGATGGTAGTGGGTTTGGCTTGGTTTTATTTTGTACACTTGGAGTCCTCATAGGCTGCTACCGCAAAATCAGCAGTTCAAAGCCACCAGCCTCTCTATGGGCAAATGTTGAAGCTTTCTACTCCTGTAAAGAGTTACAGACCCAGAAATCCACAGAGGCAAATCTACTCTGTCCCATAGGGTTAGAATGAGTTGGAATGACAGTGAGGTGGGGTTTTTTCAGTTGCATTTTGTAGAGTATACCACTTGATGGTGCTGTTGCATTGGAGACAGCAGAGTTGTGGAAAGGTTTGCAGGACAGTTTGTGTGTCGATTTTAGAATAAATGACCCTAATGTTTTGTTTAATTATATTTCATCACTTTGAAATCATAGTCTGTTTTAGTGTTTCCTATGAACAAAAGCCTTTGTGTTCTTAATTAAAGTGTATCTGTGTTCTTTCATTTTCATTTTTTTTTCAGCAGGCATTTTTGAACACAGTTAAAATTAAGAGCTTTCAACAGGCAAATTCCTTAGATTTTTAAAAGAGAAAAACAAAGTTAAGTCTTTCAGAGAGTTGATTAAGAGATAAACCTGTAAGAATGTCCCCACCTCCTCTAAAGTGTGTGTTTCTACATTCTTATTATTTAGAGCTAGTTATTAGATATTTGCTAATTTGACCCGTATGAACTATTAGCAATGTATGGGTCAGGAGACCTTGAAAATAAAAACAAGTTTAAGAATAAAAGGTTTTTCAGTGATTTATTTAACTGTTTGTGTTGCTGTAATACACATTCTCTTAGAAATAAGTTTTTAAAGGAAGGATCTGAGTTCATTTTCTGATTGATTTCTAAAAGTCAAGTAGGGTGAAATGTGTATCTGGCTGAAATTATACAGTTCCATTCTTTGTTGATTAAAATACTTTCTGTTTTAGTAGTGGTAATATAATTGATAGGGCACATTATACTTCATTCCATTTTGGGCTTTCATTCTTAGATAGGACAGACCATATCGTACCGACACAATACTAGTATTAAACAAGCATCTAATATGTTTTATTACATTGCGTACTATATCCCCTCTGCCAGTGAGCTTATTCCAACTCTTAGAGACCCTGTCGGACAGAGTAGAATTGTGCCTTAGGAGCGTTTGCACCACCCACTGCCACTGATTCTATTCCAATTTACAGCCGTAGAACTGCTCCTCACAGTTTCTTTCTTTCTTTTTTTTTCTCTTCTGAGTTCAAGTTTAATACAACTACAAAACATCAATGGGCTTATGCCTCACTACTAGTACATGACACACATCAGCTGCCCCAAACAGCTCAGGGTCATTTTCATTGGGGTGTATGTAGAAAGACTGCCCCTCCCCAGCCCCTACAAAAAAAGCCCATCATATTATGAAATATGTTCTCAGTAGAGTCTAAGGCCTTATGTTTGAAACACGAAGAAGAATACAAAGGAGGTTTTGTTTGTTTTTCTCAAGGCTACTCATTGCAACCTAGCACCGAAATGGTCCAGTGCTCACTTCGGCTTGGCGAAATACTCTCTGCTCTCTGGACATCAGGCTTGATAGTATCACTGCCAGGCTTCCAACCAGCTGGACACACTTCTCCATGTTTATCTGTGAACTTGGAGGTCTGAACAGGTCTTAGAGTCTCATTCACAGAGTTGCCAACAGGGAGGTCATTTACAGTGATCTGTCTAAGGATTCCTTTATCATCAATGAAGAGACTCCTAAACGAGATGCCTTCATCCACCTTTAAGACCTCATAGTCCTGAGCAGTGGTGCACTTGGGGTCTGATACCAAAGGAATGTTCATAGGCCCGAGGTCTCCTTCTTTCTTGGGTGTGTTGATCCAAGCCAGATGGCAGAAGTGAGAATCCTCAGAAGCACCAATCACTTGGCAGTTCAGTTTTAAATTCTTCTGCCCTGTCATTGAAAGCAATGATTTCTGTGGGGCACACAAAGGGGAAGTCAAGAGGGTAAAAAAAGAACACTGTATTTTCCTTTGTAGTCAGTCAGGCTGATATCTTTGAACCGACTATCAGGCATAACAGCTGTAGCTTTGAAGCTGGGGGCAGGGTGACCAATTTTGGCAGTTCCTGAAGACATCCTGTTAACAGTGGGGGGGTGGTGCTAAAAGAGCAAGCACCAGTCACCAGCCAGGAAGAGGATGTCTCCTCACAGTTTCTAAGACTAAATTTTCAGAAGAGCAGACTCATCTTTTTCTTGCAGAGTGACTGGTGGGGTCACACCAACAACCTTGCAATTAGTAACCTTATGCTTAGCCCATTCTCCCACCGGGTCTTCCAATACTGATATACAAAGATACCCACCTAACTCATAGTGAAGCACCTGCTAGGTTCTAGACACGGTTTTGGGTGTTGGTAAACATCCAATGGGAGATTCTCATTCTAGGGAGAAGAGGTGAGCAACAATGAAGTAAATTCTGAAATGTGCTATAAGGGGGTAAATCTTTTTCTTTTTTTTTTTTTAAATAGGACTGGGTAAAGAACTAGTAATGGAGTGAGTTGGAGGTTTAAATAGAATATTTAGAAGAATCTCACTGAAAGGGTGAGCCTAAACTTGACTTCAGGGAAGGGAAGTCATAGGAATATTTGGGAAAGAAGCGTTTTTAGGTAGGGAGAACAGGTGGTGCAGCAGCTCAGAGGTGGAGGATCATTGAGCGGCCAGGGTGCCTGGAGCAGAGGGGCAATAGTTGGAGATGAGGCCAGATCAGCTAATGAAGTCAAAGAAGTACTATTTGAGGCAGAATTATTCATACTGCATTGTTTTTTGTTATTCTTGATCTCAACGCTTATATTTTAATTTTGTGTATGTGTTGTTCAGTGTGGCGGTAAGGAACTGTAGAACCTAGGATAGAATCCTATTTTGAATTTGACCATTGATTATGACAGAAAGAATGATTGTCTGTAAGAGCCTATATATTTGATAATAGTATAACTTAGTTATACTATAACTATTTAATAGTATAACTATTAAAGAAGAAAATTAAATGGTTATTTGCTTCAGGCAAATGAATAGACATCAAGAAATGTATTACATGTCTAAAGGAATAACTCAGAGGAGCATCCCGCTTTTGTGATATGACCCATGCACATGGGTTTTTGGTGTGGCAGAACTTAACCTTCAGACAATTAAAGGCTTTATAGTGGGGTGTGTGTGTCACAGTTTCTTTTAAAGGAGGATGTGATTCATTAAAAAAAAATTAAAGTACTGCCACAGAGTCGCTATCTTCTTTCCTTTTCTATATAGCTGTTCCCTTGCTTGTGAAAATGTAATTCTAATAGCTACCTGCTAGAATAGTTTTTAGGAATAACAAGTTAAATAATGTATACAGTCCGTTTCCTTCCTTTAACTCCACCTGTCATGCTTATCTGTTTGCTTGTGTGTTCTTTCTCCTGCCTAAGGCTTTCATTTGTCCATTATCTACCTAATTCTAAGCCTTTTGTGATATAAGACTTTTTCCTGGTGACCCATCAGATAATTTTCATGTTTTATGCTTTAATTTGGTGATGTATTAAGGGATAATTAAGATTTCCAGGATTATTTGTATTCTCTTCTAAATAGCTTCAGGCTATCTTGTGTCTAATTTTTATATAGTTTCTAGTTTCTTTCTTTACCATTGGCTTCCATTATTGGCTCTTATTATCACAGCAGCTTTTAGCTCTCTACATATAATCTTCACCATCTCATCTGTTGAGTATCAAATCATTGGGTAATAAATCATTGGGTAATAAATCAAGTTTTATAAAATAATGTCTATAACAGAAATGAAAAATACATTTCAGCTTGTGTTGACTATGATTAGTAATAGCTGCCTGGAGGGCTTGCTAAGCACAATTCTGAAGCTGCATTCCAGTTTGGTAAGAGTGCTGTGATATGGAGGGGGCTGGGGGGAGATGGACTGGCAACACAAGGGCCACAGATGTTCCATGTATTGTCCAGACTAAGAATAAATAGGCATTCAAGAAGATCCGAATGGGTTCTGCAGCGAGTTAAAGATAGAAATTACTGTGTGGATTTTGTGGTAGTAGTTGGGCCTCCTAGATTGTAGTATTGTTTGGCCCTCTTGGTTATTGGTTACTCTTTTCAGAAATTGAGATTTTCAAATGACAATTCTGTGTAAATGAAGGACATGCTTTGCAATATTTTAAATTGTTTTCAGATTTGTAAGACTCATCAGTTATGATATTAAACATTTTAATCATGTCAGAACATTGTTTTCTTCATATGGTGCTTCATATTTTATCAAAAGCACATACTCTGTGAAAATGCAGATGTACAATCAATACACTTAAGGGAAAATACCAGATAATTAATAAACTTGCACAAGGCAAATTGAGCTTAAGTACACTTCATTATGATGGTAGTAAATCGGCGTATCTGTGTGATTGTCAGTTTTTATAATCTTTCAATGTATGAATATATCTGAGAAAGTTTAAATTTTTAAATGAATTATTTCTGGTATGTCTTTCCTTTTACACATATCACATATAACTTTTGCAGGTTGGATTTGCTACCATTTTATGCAAGATTGGTTGCTACATTACATCCCTGCATGTCTGATGTAGCAGAGGATCTTTGTTCCATGCTGAGGGGGGATTTCAGATTTCATGTATGTATTTAAGTATTTATTTTATGATATATGTATCTATATAAGTTGAGTTAGGAATCTGTGGTTTAAGAGCATAGTCATTTTCTTGGTAATAGCATACTTCCAAAATTTCAGAGTGGTGTAACAGTTCAGAATTTATGGAATTCTAAATTTTAAAAATTAATTTTGCTTAGCTAAGTTTAAAATTGATGTTAAATTCCAACCTAGAGGTGAGCTGTTTCTGCTACCCTGTTCTTCCCAATCAGCCAGCAAGACACGTAGGCTATAATGAATCAGGCCCAGTGCCCCACAGAGGATACAGTTTATATGTTAGGTTCCAAATATTGTGGGACATAAGTTTCCATAAATTCTCTGATCTCAATGAAGGCGATTTTTGCCCATGTTTTATTGACAGATTCTTTGCCAAAAGAATTTTTACTTTGGATATTGATGAGGCCTTTAAGGAGCATCCTGGTAAGAACTAAGTAATAAGACAGCTTTTCAGTTTGGAAGCTTGACAAGACTGAGCTAGTGGTTCTCTCAAACCCATGTTAACACCATGTGTCATGTGGGCTACAAGGGGTCAGACAAAGGCTTGATAGAGGGATAAAAAGAAGGCATTCAAGGTGACTAATTGAGGTCTTGATGGACTTTGAAAAGAGGAAGTTCAAGTGTTTATTACCTAGTACAAAATTATGTTTAATGTAGTTGTAGCTATGTAGTAAGTCACTTGCAATGTAAATAACATCAGGAAATGTTTATCAGGCTCCATTCACACTTTATATATTCACTGTCTACAAATCAGTAAGATTGCTGAGCACTTAAATAAGAGCAGACCTAGTTTCTGAGGTAGGGAATCTCACAATACAGGTGGGAAGCAAGTCATATGCCTTTAAAAAGCAAGAGCAGGGTTCTTCAAACTACGGCCTGCGGGTCACAGGCAGCCTGCCGAGGATATTTATCCAGGCCACCAGCTGTTTTTGTCCCGTTTTGTTTTTTACTTCAAAATAAGATATGTGCAGTGTGCATAGGAATTTGTTCATAGTTTTTTTTAAAACTATAGTCCAGCCCTCCAAAGGGTCTCAGGGACAGTGAACTGGCCCCCTGTTTACAAAGTTTGAGGACCCCTGCCTTAGACTCTAGAGATTGAGTGCTTTGAATTGAGAGGCAGGAGAGAGCTTCTATGATGCGGCGTGATAGATATATTTCAGTAGGTGTTATTGGTTGTTACTACATTTGTGCCTAATGTTTCTGAGGAGCCAGCTGTTGCTGAAGTGTGTCCTAGAACATCACAGAGTATCGGCTAAGGAAAAGTTTTTTATCATTACCAAATTTGGGAACACCTGGATCAATAAAATTAAACAGCTTTGTTTTAATATAAGAATTTTTGAAGCTTAAGTAGGTTAATTTGTACTCAGTTTCTTGCAGGGGGGTGGGGTTTGAGTAGCCAGTGATGTACACGTTAAAAGTCATATCTTTGTTGATATATTTAATTCTTCTAAACTAGGAACTCTTAGTAGTAGACAGTATGACTGTTCATTAGAGTTACTCCTCAATCAACTTCAAAATAAGCAAGACACAAGTTGTCGTATTAAGTATAATTGGTGTTTTGGGCAAAAAAAAAAAAAGTAAAATTAAGGAAATCCTTCCATTAGTACTTTGTTTTTCACTCCCACTTTTGAAATTGAGGTTTTTTAGGTGGGGAATAGGCATTTTTGTGATTACTGGTACAACACTTTATCACAACTGGAAGGATATCAGACTTAACGAGAATATGTACTTTGGGAACCACTTCTCTCGGAAGAGAAGAAAGGAACTTGAGATGTTGTACGCCTTTCTGCTGCTTCCCGGGTCCTGTTGTTTCCACGCCCTTGACCTGTAGCCTTGGCCAACCACTTTCTTTTAAGCCATAAATATACTTAACATTCTCCAGCTCTAAATGAAAATAAAATAACAACAACAACAAAAAATCTTCCTTAATTCTAGAAGCCCCCAAATCATCTCCTTCAGTGTCCTTCTTGTTGAAGTGTTTTAGAGTACCCTCTGACGTCACCGTGACTCCCCATCATAGCACCCTGGCAGGGCTTGTCAGTGCCCTCCCAGCTGTCTCGTGTTAGGTGATTCCTGCAAGATGCTGAACTGCTGGACTTTCCTCCTTTTTTGGAATCTGTTTTTCTGACGCCACTGTGTGCTAACATTATGACTTTTGTCAAGTTCCTAAGTGCTTTAAACCTCAGTTTCTTTCCCTAGTACTAAGGATAATAATTATTCCTTCTTAAACAGGATTGTTCTTAAGGATTAAATACATGGAAAATTCTTCACACAGTGCATGAGCATAAATATTACTATAATTATCCCTTCTATACTACCATTTTTTCCTAGTTCTTTACTTAATGACTACTGTCCTCGGAATCCTTCACTTTTTTCCCTTGCTACCTTAGTTTATCTATTGGATTTCTTTCTTCATCCTTCTTTTTCATAGAACACATTCTATGTGGCTTTAACATCTATTTCCCACAACCGCAAGACCTCTCTCCTGGTACTTAGAATTTCTGACAGACTTCTATGTTTAAAATATAAAAGCCAATCTTTTTCTTGAAAATGTCTTTACACTCCACTTCTTCAAATCTACATAAATATTGTCTGTAAATGTATGATACTGTATTTTAATCACTGAGAGAAATATCACCACTCTGTCCTTCTGAAGTTCTGCCTTCACTATCTTATTTTTAAAAAACAACCAACCTCATTGCCATTGAATCATTTCTGACTTAGAGTGACCCTATACAGGGTTTCTGAGATAGTAAATTTTTACGACAGTAGGCAGCCTCATCTTTCTCCCATGGAGAGACTGATGAGTTTGAACCTCTTAACTTGCAGTTAGCAGCCCAATGCTTAACTGACAGTGCCACAGAGTGCCATATTTTGTAAAACACTCCTTCAGTCTAGCACCGTTTCATACTGACTGCCGTTTAGCTTCATCATCCACCATCTAATTTATGATAATAGCTTTTTAATCAGACTTTCCTATCCTTGCCTTTTATCTAGCTCCAGTATTGTGCCATAGTTTGGTCATTTTTCTCCACTGTCTAAGACCCTCAGCTGAGAAGTAGAGCTAGTTCATAAAACTTTAGAATCTGCTGGTAGTCAACAAAATTCTAGTAAAAAATGATAGATTGTGGTTTTGACTGAGATTAGTAGAGGTAACAGAAAGATTATATTCTACAGATAAGTAGGATTCTGGAGAAGCAAGTTGGCAGTATAGTTCAGGCTCTTTAGTGGCATTCGTAAACATTGGGCAACCTGAGAATCTGTCCTAAATGAACAACCCTATGTACCCAAAATATTTATTTACATCAAACCTATAATAAATAACTGAAAATAAGCTAAAAGCCCAACAATAGATAAACAAACAAACGATCATATAATCATAATGTTGAAATGAGACAATATCACTAAAAGTGATTTTACCCAGAAGTTGGTATCATAGAAAAAGTGTTTGATATAAATACATGTATATAAAATCTTGACATGTATTTATAGTTATGTTCTAATGCTTGGAGAGTAAAAAGTAGAAAAGAATTATCCATCAACATGCTGACAGTGGCTGTTTTGGATAGTACAAGGATTATTTTTTCCTTTCTAGTTTTCCTGTGTTTCCAAATTTAAATTATGAGTCTATTTCTTTAATAAACCTGTAGTCTCAACTTTTTTTATGGTTTCCCCACCAGTTAAAATAAGTTGACCACATATCCTAAGCATATATATGTGTGTGTGTGTGTGTGTGTAATGAGTATGCATATATGTGTATGTATAAATTGTGGGTGTGTGCAGTTGTACCCGATATTTTATGTACATTATAAAATATACAAATATTAGCTGGCAGGCATAAAATAAGAACATTTTAAACCCTATATGAATAAAATTTTGAATGTAATTTTTTTGACATCCCCATAAAGAGTCTTGTGTGAGGTGAACACCAGTCGAGAGAGGAAGAAAATAAATATTTTCTCACTGCTATTGAGTCATTGCTGACCCATAGCAACCCCTGTAGGTTTCTGAGACCAACTCCACGGAGTAGAAAGTCCGGTATTTTCCCCTGCATATAATAATTGTAAATAAATTAATATCTTGGCAAGGCAAATTTACTTTGTAAGCTCATTGCCTACTTGGTATTAATCATATAGTAGGTGTTCAGAAAGAAGTTTGTTGAATGAATGAAAGAGTAAAATTCACATAAAACAAAATGAGCGAATGATAGAGGAAAGAGTACAAGATGTATTTGGGAATTCAGGTTTAAGTTTGATTTGGGGCACAGCGTTATTTCTTTAGGGGAGTAATGAATGGTAGGTGTTGGATATCTTTCCTTTATATATGTTGACATCTGAAGAGCTTTGACATATCTTTGATCAAAAGGATTCAGTAAATGAAATTAGAAAATGTTGGAGGCAGAATAAGTTAAGAGTCTTTTAAAATTACACCTTTTAAAACCCTTCAGTTTACTCATCTGAAAATGAGGCAGGGAGAAAATTGATTTATAATATTTAAGTATTTATAATTCTAGTTAAATGGATTCTCTTAATAATATTTAGGAATAATGATGTTACTATAATATACTCTGGGTGAAATAGTACATATGTTTCGTGCTTTGAATGAAAACTGTAGCGCTTATTAATACTTGAAATTTTATGGTTCATTAGCAGTGTTTGAAGGAGGTAATGCCTCAAGAACCACCCAGAGGGTGTGTGCGCGCACGCGTGTGTGTTTTAATCTGTTTATGTAAGAGGGGACTTCGAAAAGTCCATGAAAAAATTCCATTATTTTTCAGTTCCAATTTTTTCACAAACTTAAACTCAGCTTCACTGTATAGCTTTGGAATGCTGTCTTATACTTTTTTTGTCTTTATATTTCTTTGACTGTAAATGTGAAGGACACGCATGCCTCAGTGTGGATAATTTGAAAAGTGTGTAAAGTGGAAAATAAGGCATGGCTTCATCACTTAGAAGCAAACCCTGTTAATATTTTGGTATATTTTCTTCACTTTTTCCCCATTTAGTTATTACTTGGATGAATTTATATTGTATGTACTACAAATTTCTGTTCCTTTTTCTTGCTTAACTTCAAAGCCTTTTGCCATTTGATTTGAGTACTTGTTAAACATCATTATCTAACCAAAAGTTAGATAATCTTTGGTCCTGCACATTAATTGCCTAGTATCCAGTGAAGAGTAGGAATCATTGTTACAATTATCCTTATCCTTACCCTTTTTTTGCCAGGAGAGCAAACCAGTTGTAGGGAGTTTGACTTGTTCAAGGTGATATATCCAAAAAATAGGCCAAAATCGAACCCAGGAGCACAGATATTCTGGCCATAGATCCTATGCCGTAATTAAATAATTTTGTTCATTTGATAGACATTCACTTTTTTCATTTAGTGAGCATTTAGTGTTCATGTATTAGAGACACATAAATACAAAGGTAGATTAAACTACTTATAGCTTACTTTTGATGAACAGTTATTATTTTAAGTACATGTATTAACTTGCTTTAAATTCACAATTCTAAAATGTAAGTTATTTCCTAACCCTATTTAAAGGCAAGGAAACTGAGGCACGGGATAACTGGCAAATGTTAGAGCTGAGATTAAAACCCAGAAAACCTGATCCTGAGACCACCCCCTCAATATATTCTAGCGATTCACAAAATAAAGCAAACTTCTAAGAGGAGTTTTAAAATATGCAATGCTTATAAAATATACATTTATTTGTGGAAGATCTTTTTGAAGGTTATGCTCTATAAGACTTTTTTAAAAAGTCGTTTGTCCTGTATTAAAAATCAAGTCCAGTGAGTTGTAATTTTTTCTATTTGTTTTAATATTCTGAAATTATTTTGTATGCTTCAATGTGATTAAAATAAAAATCTGTATTGAAGTTGGACTTTTGTGATTCTCATGCAATGTTATTGGTTTTAAAAGTTTCATTATAGTGAGCTTCTAGTTTGCTATGCTTTTTAAAAAAACGAGTTAACAAGATTTTGTTTAAAAAGTGATTACACAAGTTCTTAAATGTCTACAACACTTATGTCTGATGACAAATTCTATGTAAGTATTAGATATTTGGATATATAAAGGTTTAGTATTTGTGTAAGTAGTTATCATTAGTTGTGCAATTCAGATTAATCATTGGGTGCTGCAAGTGGGACTAGGCCTTATTTTGAGTTCTGCACCTTTTTGGGTGGGTAATCCAAAATGTAGATTGGCAGGAAACTGGGATTTAAGTGATCCTAGCTCAAGTCATTTGACAGTTTGCGCTCTCTTTGAGGGGAATGGGGCTTAAATATGAAATCAGAACAACTATCTTCTCTGAGACTGTTATATAGAAAAAATGAAATAGAGGACTATTGTAGAAAAGTAGAAGCACTAAACTGATTCAAGGCACTGCATACAACCATTATTCAAATAAAAAGGTTTCTAGACTGTGGTCAGGTTTTCTGATGCATTGGTAATTCTAGGGGTAAATCCAGTTGCACTCATCCTGATGATTCTGTTCCCATTGTACTGTTGCAGTAAGATTTTGTAGCATTAAGTATTTCTTGAAATGCTTGCCATAATTACAGGGTTTTAATTTGTAAAAGATTTGAACTTTGACATGTCTTTGACAGGATACCCCCCCAAGAAAAAAAAGACCCCAAACAAACCAGTGATTATATTGAATGTTCTTATAGTGAATTATAATAAGATATACAATGTAGTTTATCATTTACTGGCTGAACTTTATTGACATTTTTGCTTAAGTGAGCTTGTGGCACTCACTATTTTTTAAAGCAGCATTTTCTAAATTGTATTCCTTAGAATATTAATTTCATAAGTATTAATCATTATTAACATTTCCAAGGGGAGGTTTCTGTTGAACAATAAATTTCAGCCACATTAAATTAAGAATGTTTCTTTGAGAGGCCCTCTTAAGTCTGATAAAGTATATTTGCTCAAAGTTTTTGACCATTGGAACTTTTTTGCAGATGATATCCTGGGACTGGTATTCTATAGACCATATTTTACCTAAAAGTATTTGAATATAGCAAAAAATTACATACAATGGATTTTAAGTATTTGGTGTGAATTCAGACTTTTTAAAATAATACTTTTTGACAGATTTCTAGTAGTTAATTATCTGAGTGGTGTCTTTTTGTTTTTAATTTGTAGGTACGAAAAAAGGACCAGATCAATATTGAAACAAAGAACAAAACTGTTCGGTTTATTGGCGAACTAACTAAGTTTAAGATGTTCACAAAAAATGATACCTTACACTGTTTAAAGGTTAGTGTTGGATTATTTGAATAGACAATTTTTAATTATAAGTGCTAGAAAAAGTGTTAATTAGAAGTGCTACAAAAAATGGAATAAATTAAAATATTTGGCTAATTTCTAAGAGGACAAGAGGAGTTAAAGGGGACATTAAACAGAAGAGCAAAATAGAAAACAAAGAGTAAGGTGATAGATATAAATGCAACTACATCAATAATTTTATTAAATGTGAAAGGACAAAAAAGTGAAAGCTTAAGAATATAAGATTAAAACAACTATATGCTATTGTAGGAGAGATACCCTGAAATATAAAGACTGGAAATATTAAAGTCAAAAGACAGAAAACATATAACATAATAACATATAAACACTAAACAAAAAAACCTGGTGTCGTGATAACAACTGTTTATTATTTACTGACCATCGTGTTATCTGGCATTTCACATTTACAAGGCTAGTGACAAATCCACTGTCCAATTATTTCGCACATTAAATCCACTAACTATTTTGTGTCCTATCTTTTGTGTTAATGAATCCCACGGTGTTAGACGAGAGTAATGTTGACTGTGCCTTAAAGTTATTTGCCACCATAGCTAGGCTGTGGTTCTCAGTGGTTTGGTGCTTAGATAATGATTTGATTTGGTAGTTAGGTGATGATGCAGTCATATACCCTTCTTATTTAATGCCAATTTGCACGTAAAACTTGATCTTTAGGACCAAACCTTGCCTATAAGAGGAGGTGGGAATACTGTTCTCAGATAATGAAGACTTTAAGGTATGAAGCATTGCTAAATATAAAGAAGGGCGGTTCAAAATAATGGAGTCATTCTAACAGGAAGCTATCACTTCCCAAATCAATATGCATCAAATAATATAATTTCAAATTATTAAAAAGAAAATTTTCACAACTAAAGGATAATTGAAATGTTCCGCATAGTAAAGAGACTTGAAAATCTCTCGCCATAGTTCACAACAACAGGCAGACAAGATCAGGGAGAATATTTGGTTGTAAGGATATAACAGTTACAAAGGACAAGAATTTGAACCATATAATTTAAAAATACATATATTTTTAATAATAGAAAAATATTTATCTAGTTTATCTTACACCCAACAGCAACAGCATATGCATATTTACCACTCACCAAAATAAAGCACGAAGCAAGTCTCGACAATGTTATTATTCCAGAATATTGAAATTATTAAGATTATTTAAATTAGATGTGATAAATCACAAATATTCTAGATGGAATAAGCCATCTACATTTGGAATTGATTGTTCCTTAGTTAAAATTCTTTTTCTCTGTACCATTAATTTTTTTAAATGGATTTTTTGGCATATTAATAACTCACAAAATAGGCTTATAATTAAATACAAATGGAAAAGTTATAGTTAAGTATGATTTCTTGGCGTTTTCAGAATGCTAATAATCACTGTAAATATTAAGGGAACAAAGTTCCTAAACCTTGAAACTTTCCAGGAGACTGTTTTCTACAAACTCAGAACAACATTGTAGAAGGAATTGTGAGAATTTTTTCAATACTTTTCTTGAAAGGAATCATGCCACACCAAAAAAAAACATGAATATATTCACTAGTTTGTTAGTAGCAGCATATGCAGAGGATGTGTGTATGTCTTGGACAAAGAGACTATCTAGGAATTCATTTTAAGGAAATAATCACAGATATGTATATAAATTTTATTGGTTCATGATACCAAGTTATTAGAAACAATGTGTGTGCTCAATAAATAAGAACTATTTCACTTGTAAAGTTCATATTTAACATCTGTACCTTTAAAATTACTCAATAGAAGGATAAATACGAACATGTTAAAAAATTCTCATTATTAGCTGATATGTCTATGTCTATTTGGTTTAGAAAATATACATATAAAATGATTGTGAAGCTATGAAAATGTTAATGACAAAGTATTTATAAATTCTTACAATGAACAAGTAGTATTTCTATAATCAGAACTTTCATATGAATCAAAACTGGAAATGAGCCATTTGAAAAACATCATATATTGGTACATGTTAAAATACATATGTAATAATGTAGTTAAGGCTTTGAAATTAGTTTTCACATATCTATCTAAAGGGTAGACAAGTTTCTAAATAATGTTTTATGGCTGAACAAATTGATGCTCAGTAATGAAGCTTACTGAAGTAAAGTAGACTCGCTTTTTTGCTTTTACAGTGACAATATAAAAGTTGTTACAGCTATTTATTATGTTCTTTCTTGAATAAGGTTGAATTGTTATCTTTGTGGTTGTTAATCATTTCTATTATTGTAGATGCTTTTATCAGACTTTTCCCATCACCATATCGAAATGGCATGCACCCTCCTTGAAACATGTGGAAGGTTTCTTTTCAGATCTCCCGAATCTCACCTGAGGACCAGTGTACTTTTGGTAAGAGCTTGACTACTTGGTTGTGTTTTAGGTGAATGTTTACATACAGTTTTAAACAAATGGGTCTATGGATTTCTTTAGCATGTTCACAGTGTCAGCATTCTCATTATATTTACAAGGTTTGCTTTGTTTTCAGCCCCTCCTTGGCTGCTCACCCTTGCTTTTAGATAAAAGTTGACTGGTTTCGTAAAGTTGATTTTTTAAAATGTCCTCATTGGGAGTATTATTCTTTTTTATCACCCACTAGGTGATTTGCTTGAAAGGTGACTTGGGAGTGGCTTCAGATCAAGTTCAAAAGGTATCGTAGGTTGATCCTCTGGTCTCTTATCAGTCTAGGTAGTCTGGTTTTTTTGTGTGTTTTTTAGAGTTTTGAGTTTTGTTCTACATTTTTTTCTTGTCTGGTGAAGATCTCTTTAGCGTCCCTGGTCAAAATGGCCAGTAGGGTATCTGTGCACCATCTAGTTCTTCTGCTTTCAGGCTGGAAGAGGCCGGGGACAATGTGGCTATTAGTCCTGTGGACTCATTTCTTGCATCTGGTTTCCGTCACTCTCTTGCTTCAGATGAGAAGAGACTAGGAGTTGTCACTTAGATGATGATTCAAAAGTCTGTAGACCCCTGACACTGCTCGCCAAACTTGGAGGTAGCTCATGGTCTTCATGAGCTCTTATTGTGCCAGCTGACAGCTGCTCCAGGAGATAATGCTCACAAGCTTTTTAACCTAGTAAGTTAGTCTCGTGAAGTGTTGAGCTATCTTAATTTACAGGTGGGCTCAAAAAGTTTGTGGGAAAATTCGATTTTCTTTTAATTCCATTTCCCATGAGTTTTTGAAGCCCTCATATGTAGCACACACAGTTTATACGTATGTCTAGAAATATACCTATTCATGTGTGCTTCCCTATATACATATATAAAAAAATTAAAGTGCTTTATTTACTTCAGAGATTAAAAATAATGACTAATGCTCACTTTAGTGGAATAACAATGGATTGGGATAGAAATGGTGGATGGAGAATAACTCGATATACAAGGGGGCATCAATTTAATTTTTTTGAAGACAATTCACAGGTTCCTCCTGACATGCTTAGTATGAAAAAATTTAGGAGGTAAAACGGTTGAGACTTGGTGGTGAGATGTAAGGGTGAGGAAGATTGAAGTGCCCCAATCGCCAGCATTTTGACATGAGGTAGGGGCAGTCACAGAGAGCAGGGAAGAAAGGGTGAGGAACAGATGGGAACATGATTGGAAGTATATTTATGCTTCTGGGATAATCCAGAGTGCATAGTTTATTGTTTTGGAAGCACATACAAATCATCTCCCGTTTGCATTGAAATTTGTTCTCTGCTAAGTTAAAATTAGTTTGATGTGTGTCTCTCCATCGGACTTGATTGGGGATTCTATTTGCAAGCGGTCCAAGTAAATAACGTAGATTAAAACCAAATCCATTGCCTTTGAGAGTGGGGGAAAAAATTATTCAGTGTCCCCTGGCAATTAAATTTTTTTTTACTCTAATTCCAGGGGTAAAGTGTAGGTTTCTGCTTTTTGTAGCCTCTTCTCCATTGTTTCAGCCCACCCCCACCCCCACCTCAGGGGTGGTATCGTCCACTTTAGAAAATACTGTAAATCTTTATGGGAAAAGACAGCCTCATCTTTCCTCTGTGGAGCAGCTGGTGTGTTTGAACCGTGGACCTTGCATTTAGCTGCCCAATGCCTAACCCATGGTAGCACTAGGGCTTTTTAATCTGAATAAAAACTATGTTATATATTTACAAATGGTAAGTTAAGCATCTATAAGTAGTTTAGAAGTACTAGTAGACAAGAAAAACAGTTATGAAATAATTAAGTTTATAGGTAGCAAAAATTTTAGTATTTGATAGGTTTATGTGGATTGCAACCTAGTCCTGGGGAAACTCGAGTGGTTTTAAAAGTTCGCTGGTTCTTTCATTCATGTATGCTGTTGTGTACTAATTGCACCTCCTGTGTGCTAGTTCAGGCACTGTTTTAAGTGCTAGTTAGGTATTCAGCATTGAAAAAGATAATATCTCCCATTTTTTAGCTTACATTTTATTTATTTTTTATTGGGGGCTCATACAACTCTTATCACAATCCATACATACCTCAATTGTGTCAAGCACATTTGTACATTCGTTGCTTTCAACATTCTCAAAACATTTGCTCTCTACTTAAGCCCTTGGCATCAACTCATTTTTCCATCTCCCTCCCCTCTCCCCCTCCCTCATGAACCCTTGATAATTTATAAATTATTATTTTGTCATATCTTACACTGTCCGATGTCTCCCTTCACCCACCTTTCTGTTGTCCATCCCCCAGGGAGGAAGTTATATGTAGATCCTTGTCATCAGTTCCCACCCTCCTTACACCCTCCTGGTATCTCCACTCTCAGCACTGGACGTAAAGGGATCATCTGTCCTGGATTCCCTGTGTTTCCAGTTCCTATCTGTACAAGTGTACATCCTCTGGTCTAGCCAGATTTGTAAGGTAGGATTGGGATCATGATAGTGCTGGGGGGTGGAAGCATTTAGGAACTAGAGGAAAGTTGTGTTTCATCGTTGCTACACTGTACCCTGACTGGCTCGTCTCCTCCCGCTACCCTGGTGTAAGGGAATGTCCAGTTGCCTACAGATGGGTCTTGGGTCCCCAATCTGAACTCTCCCTCATTCACAATAATACGATTTTTTGTTCTTTGATGCCTGATACCTGATCCCTTTGACACCTCGTGATCACACGTACTGGTGTGCTTCTTCCATGTGGGCTTTGTTGCTTCTGAGCTAGATGGCCTGTTGTTTACCTTTAAGCCTTTAAGACCCCAGACACTATATCTTTTGATAGCCGGGCACAATTAAGCTTACATTTATATACAGAGAGTGATTTTTCAAAATTGAAAGCATGTCACTGCACTGTAAAGTTCTTATCTTTCAAGTTGCTGTTATCCATTTGATCCCATTGAGGTAGTCCTTAAAGAGTACAGTGCTCAAGGCAGACTTTTTACTAGTCAAGCTAGACTATCGATTGGTTTAAGAAGACTTTAGGAACTCTTTTTGGTTTAAAGCATTAAGATCTCAGGATAGTGGTTTAAGGGTTTTTATATTCTCCTTCCTTAATTGTGGTCACTCATATGCAAGTTTTGCTTTCTGTACAGTTCAGTTTAACAGAGTTATAAGTTATAGTTGTAGTAAAGTTGTCTTAAGTATTTTATTGAATAAGGCTTAATATTCTAAAAAGAAGATGATTGTTGGTGGAACATACTTGGTGTGCTTACACACTCTTAGATATACCTAATGATTTCTTTGCCTTTTCTAGCCTACAACCATTTATCACTGAGAAAAGAAATTTATTTGGAATAAAGGAATCTGAATTGAAATGTCTTGGTTAATTTGAGTCTTTAATTTTAGGAACAAATGATGAGGAAAAAACAAGCAATGCATCTTGATGCAAGATATGTCACAATGGTGGAGAATGCCTATTACTATTGCAACCCACCTCTGGCTGAGAAAACCGTGAAAAAGAAACGTCCTCCTCTGCAGGAATATGTTCGGAAGCTTTTATACAAGGATCTCTCTAAGGTTACTACTGAGAAGGTAACTCTTAATGAAATCATATAGTAATTGTTTGACTTGTGGTAATGCAAAACTTAATATTCGAACAAATAAATACTTTGTCAGCTTAATTGCAGTAGCATTAAAATCAGTAAGCGCTTACCTTCTAGTCCATGCATTTTCTGATAGTTTTATATCAGGGTGATACATTAGTTTTCATAGAGAGAAAACACAAACTCACTGCCATTGAGACAAGGATGTCTCTTAGTGACCCTATAGAATACAGTAAAACTCCTTCCATTAGTTTCCAGACTAACGCTTCAAGGGAGTATAAAACCCTGTCTTTCTCCCTCAGGGAAGCTGGTGGTTTTGAGCTACTGACTTTTCAGATTACAACCCAATGTGTGTATAACCACTCTGCCACTAGGCCCCTCCTTTTAATGACCTACAATGTACAGATAAGTAAATTTCTTATATTAGGTAGCATTTTATAGATAGAGAAATCAAAATGGGGCTATAAAAATTCCAACAGTAAAGAGAGGTTGGTTTATATCCCAGGCTCCATTATATAAGTCATTCTAAGTAAGAATTTATATGATAATATATAATGTTTGAGATACAGATTTTACTTTTATGATAACTTCTTATTCTAATTAAAATGTTAATGTTTCTAAATAAAAAAATTGTCTGTATATACAAAGACTTCAAAAAGGAAAAAAAAAGAAAAAGCTAATGGATATGTTCTTAAATTTTTTGAAATCCCCCTTATATTAATATCTTAGTTCTGTTTATTTTTGGTGTTTTATAATGAATTTTCCCTTAAGTAGATCTCTCAGTCTATGAGATGTAAACTTTGAGTGGCATTAGGAGATCCATGAACCCTTTGAAATTTCATAATTTTAATTTCCGTGGATTTTTTTTTTTTTGTAACCTTCTTTAGAATCTCAACATGGGCTAATTTCCAGAAAAGGTTAAGGTTGATTATCCTATTATCTTAAATTATTTTGGCTACCTTGTTAGAAACTTTTAAGGAAAATGTCTTCACCAAGACAATATTTCTTGGTTAACTCTACAGTGTGAAAATAATACAATGTATAACAACTTTGGGGGAGTTCATGGGTTAGGGGGAGAAAAAGCAAATTCATTTCTGGAAAAGGAGACTTATGGGAGGATAAAAAACATGAGCTAGCCATGGGGAGGGAGGAGAGTGAAGAGGATTGATAGTGTGGCTTTGAAAATGGAAACCATGTTTCTGAAAACCAGAGACATTAGTTTAAAACAGTAAGGAATTTGAAAGCTGTTTGAGACTTGGTTAAATGTGTGGAGCAGTTGAGAAGATATTTCCAATGAAATTAAAATGATAATATCTATTGGTATTAAAAAGATGATGGATTGTAGATATAGAAGGCAGAGATTAAAGCAATAGTTGGCAGTCTTCCTATCGTACCCACTTTCTTCCAGAATAAAAGTGGAAAGATTTTTATTAGAGAATTCTGCTGATTACCTCATTGGGAATAATTTTGGAATTAGCAGTTACTTTTTTGGGACACTTATAATGGGCCGGTCATTTTCTCTGAATTTCACATATCTATGTAAAGGCTATGTAGAGTCCTTTTACAGGTAAGGAAACTGAGAATGTTGTGCAGTATTGGTCTTGAGATAATGTCCTCTATTTTCAGTGATCTACTAATGAACATCATTGGTCTTACTGATTTGTTGGAAATTGTTATTAAAGAAAAAGTGAGCTTATTTACCATGAATGGTGGACCCAAGAGAACATAATTTAAAATAAAAACGAAACAACACAACAATCTAGGGCATTTTTCCCAGTGACTTGAGTATATAAATTTATAGGCAGTCTTGACTTAAGGACTGAGTTTTATTTCAATGATTCTTTTCTAAGTCAGTTCTGATATAAGTCAAATATACCCTTCCCCTTTTCTTTAAAAATTTTAATTATTTCTTTTATTGCTATGTTTTATAAATCTGATCTTTATTTGCCTTTGGGCGTCGAAAGCATTACATATAAAATTACAGATTTTTAAATACATGTTGTTTAAGTGCTATGATACACAGCATTCCTGTGTACAACAGAACAAATACTGCCTGGCTCTGTGCCATCCTCTGAATTATTTCTGTGTTTGAACCTGTTGTTACAGCTACTGTGAGGGGCTTTCTGTTTCAGTGTCCTTCTATACTTAGATACATAAAAAACACACATCACAAAGATGTCCACGGCTAATGCAGAAGAGTTGGAAGTCATAGGCAATTTGTCCGTGGCAGTATTAGCTCCACTTGGATCATATGGATGATCCTTGGGAATGGGGATGATGTGCCTAGTCAGAAAACTAGTGAGAGTTGGCCACATGGTCCTTTTCCCTTATTCTTCCTATTTTCCAAGTGATACCTCATTGTGTCCCAAACCTGCCCATCTAGAAGATGAACCACCTGCTACCATAGAGATTTACTGCCTTAGAAACCCTCTATAGTCACCATGAGTCCAAACTGATTTGATGGCAGTGGATAGTTTAGCAAAACAATCGATGTTTCAAGCAACTAATGCCCCTTAAATATTTTAGAAACATTCCAGTAAATTTTTTCACTAATATTTTTTGATAACCTCTCTTTCTTAACTGTTTCTTTCCCTTTTAAAATCCATTACTTCCTAATCTTTCAATTCGACTTCATGATCTTTGAACTTTTCCATATCGTTGACACCAAGTTCTAAATTCGGTGTTCTTGTCACATGGACCATTTCCCCACCATTATCTTACATCAAGTTATCCTGCTCATGTACTTGGAGCATGCCCAATAGTTCACCAGTTTTTCCTATACTCCCTGCCTTCGTTTTCTTGTAACTTCCTCCCAGGAAGATATACCAACGGCAATAATATACACTTAAAAATAAACCAAAAATGGATGAGTTAAATGCAGTTCCTTGTAATTTTAATACCCCGTAATTCAGGGACTACCTGTATACTGTTAGTTTTATTGAAGGCTAGGAAACTAAAGACAATTTGGGGACAGTATGGAAAGACTTTGGCAATATGTAAATAAATATTGTCACCACTTAACTGAAAGAATCGTAATTCTCATGTCTGTAAAGTGAAGAGGCTGGTTGAAGCTCTCTGAAGTCTTTCCCAGTTCTGTGACTCCACAATAAAACATCTGAATTATTTGTCATATAAGCTTACTCTGTGCTTCTCTTAATAACTTAAAATTTCCTCCTTTTAGGTTTTGAGGCAGATGCGCAAGTTGCCCTGGCAGGACCAAGAAGTGAAAGACTATGTTATTTGTTGTATGATAAACATCTGGAATGTGAAATATAATAGTATTCATTGTGTAGCCAACCTCTTAGCAGGACTAGTACTCTACCAAGAGGATGTTGGAATTCATGTAGTGGACGGTGTTTTAGAAGATATTCGATTAGGAATGGAGGTAAAAAGGACTTTGGGGACCCAAGCCCCCAGCTTGAGTTGTTTGGAAAATTTTAAATAACTGTTACCTAATTTTATTGAAAAATGCATGTACTTATAAAATGTAGTACAATTTATTATATCTATTGAATTAAGATTTGTTAAAATCCCTGTTGTATCAGATTTCATAGCTTGGGCTAATACTAGTATATTTTTGTCTCTTTTTCAAGCTTATCGGTTTTGGCATTCAGGTTATAAGCATCTAGACATTTATTAAAGTAGAAAAACTTGCTAATTATTATATAAGACTTATTTGTAAGCATTTCCCTCTAATAGCAAAACTTGGAATTATTTATTCCTAAAGTATAGGATGACAGGGAAAATAGGTTAGAGGAGGCCAGGAAGGAGAGACTGTGTTTTAATTGTTTTAGAAACTATCCATTTAACAATAGCAATACTAAATTTTAAAACTTAGTCTTCTTTTTTATTAAAACATTTTAAGGATAGCTATTTCCTATAGTGAGAGATCACATAATCAGAAGTGATCATGGTCTTAGGAAAGAAGGACATTTTTTTCTCCTTATTCATTGTACTTTCAGTATTGATTTTGTAATATTACTGAGGGGACTTTTACCTGCTTTTATCCTACACATTATTTAAAATCTGATTATTTGTTTTTGTTTTTTAGGTTAATCAGCCTAAATTCAACCAGAGACGGATCAGCAGTGCCAAGTTCTTAGGGGAGCTTTATAATTACAGAATGGTTGAATCGGCTGTTATTTTTAGAACTCTTTATTCTTTTACGTCATTTGGTGTTAACCCTGATGGTTCTCCAAGTTCATTGGATCCACCTGAACATCTCTTCAGAATTAGACTAGTATGCACTATTTTGGATACCTGCGGCCAGTACTTTGATAGAGGTTCCAGTAAACGAAAACTCGATTGCTTCCTTGTATATTTTCAGGTATTTCTATATAAGAGCCAAATATATACATTTTGAGATCATGTAATGCATCATTTATGTTTTATAAAAATGTTAGAGAAATAATTTTATACTGTTCTTAATAACATAAATATTATTATAAAAATTATTGTATTAATTTTCATATAAGATGTTCATAATTTATTTTCCATGCCTGGCATGGCACCTTAGGTATTTAAAAATATTTGTGGGTTCTAAAATGTTGTGTAAACATCCTAATTGCATTGTAACTTTTATTATTGTTAATGGTCATTTGCCTTAGGAATTATTTTGACAACAGTTTCTGAATTTGGTATAATAGATTATAAATTACTACTAGTATACTGATTTGTAGTTAAATTAATGGGTTAATCTTTCCATATCTTACATATTTCTGTTTATGATGTAAACTTACAAATTAGAACAAGTACAGTATAAATTGAATTCAAATTTAGCCACCTTATCTATTCTTGTGCCTGACCTTTTACAATAGAGATATCTTCCATAAAATTTGTGTTTTAAAAACTAACTTATGTTGGTGTTTGAAACCCAAGTACTAGGTTGGGTTCCAAAATATTTTCAGTGGCAATTAGGGTGACAGCTCACAGCCCGATTTGTTAAGTAATGCTGCTGAAGTAAAGTGCCAATAATACTGTCCAAGTCTATATGATCACTATTGTCAGTATTGTTGTCATTTACCCATTGATGAAGAAAATAAGTGTAAAGTTATACAGCTCGAGGCATCCAAAATTCATCCTCACAATAGCTGAGGCGAAATACACTTAGAAAGAACAGTTTGTTAGTGTTCTCCTGCCACCATTATATCCTACTCCCATATTTTCTGAGCTAATGAGCAAAAAACATGGGGAGGACAGTTTAGAGCAATGGTTCTCAACCTGTTGGTCACTACGCCTTTGGGTATCAAACGACCCTTTCACAGGGGTTGCCTAAGACCATCGGAAAACACCTATTTCCCATGGTCTTAGGAACTGAGGCACCGCTCCTCTACCGTCTCCAGGTGGGTCCGCCCACATGCTGATACGCCCACATACGAGTACCATGCTACACCATGCTTCAAGACAAAATTTCATTTATTTGTCATTGTTTTTGTGATGGATCACTATGTGTTAATTATGTTCAATTTGTAACAATGTAAATACATTCTGCATATCAGATATTTACATGATGATTCCTAACAGTAGCAAAATGACAGTTATGAAGTCGCAACGTAAACAATTTTATGGTTGGGGGTCACCACAACATGAGGAACTGTATTAAAGGGTTGCGGCAGTAGGAAGGTTGAGAACCACTGGTTTAGAGACTTGAGGGTCGGATTCCTTACTAAAGACTGTTTTTACATTGGAGAGTACCTATATTGAAAACCACAGTCTAGCTACAACCTGACAGCTATTGTTCTCCACTTCCAACGTAGAATCCCTTTTAGAAGAGATTTCTTATTTGGATTCACTCAGACATCCCAGACAGAGATAAGACACTCAGAAATATCCAGTATTAAAAAAGAGAAAGATACATTTTCCAAATTGATTAAAAGATGGAAGTGTAGCAGAGATAATATGTTGAGAACAGGAGTTGAAAGAATGAAGTGTAGGGGGAAAGTTGGTGTATTTTGCCTAGAACTTAGAATATCAGATAGAAAAGATTACTAGGAACAGTGCTTCTAAACATTAATGCGTACATATTGCATTAAAGTGGATATTGTTAGGCTTCTGTTTAAGATTAGTTGGTCTGTGCTGGAGTCTAAGATTCTATATCTCTAATATGAGTGCAGCTCATATTTTGCATAGTGAGGACCAAGAACAAGCTGGACAGGAAGCATTAAGACATCAGAAATTACCTGTTTCCATATGAGTACATTCTTGGGGTCTGCTTCCAGTTATTGCAGACTTATGATTTTGAGCAAGTACAAAATGAAAGTAGGGAAAATATGTCACAGAGCCATATACACAGTAGATGATCAATAAATGCTTATTGGTTAATGATATTTATATATTTCAAAAACCCTATCTTCAGATTCTTTAACTGACCTTTTTAAAATCACAGGAAATGGCATAGAGAAAATGCTATTTTATTAGAACTAAGGAAGTCCTGGTAGTATAGTAGTTATGCGTTAAATGGTATGTAGTGCTTGCTAACTGCAAGGTCATCAGTTTGAAATCACCAGCCTTTCCATGGACGAAAGATGAGGCTTTCTACTTTTTAAGTCTTGGAAAACTCATAGGGGCAGTTCTACCCTGTCCTGTAGGCTCACTATAAGTCAGAATTGTCGACTTGCTGACAATGATTTTTTTTTTTAAATCGCTTTAATCTCATTTTGTTTTGTAAAATTATTTAAACCCTGTTTGTGGATGGAGGAAAGTCATGTTGGCAACAGTTTGGGGTGAAGGAGGAGTTGCTGCATTATTTCAGACTACCTGAAATTTTTATCTTTAACTTTATGTTTCATTTTTCCTTGCCTGTCTTTAAAAAAAGGACTCTGTAATAGTTACAATTTAAAAAAATACCTTGAGTCAACAAATGATTCAGAAACTATAAATTGAGGAAAATAATTAGAATAGAAACCAGGAATAATAGGAACATTGCTTTTGACCAAATAGAAATATGCTAGAGGTCTTCTATAATTCTTTAGTTGTATTTTAATTAGGTTGCATCACAATACAGATTATTTTATAAATATTGTAAATTTCTTTGCAATAGCTTAATAATTTTCATTTGTTATCAGCGTTATGTTTGGTGGAAGAAAAGTTTGGAGGTTTGGACGAAAGACCATCCGTTTCCTATCGACATAGATTACATGATCAGCGATACACTAGAACTGCTAAGACCGAAGATCAAACTTTGTAATTCTCTGGAAGAATCCGTCAGACAGGTGCACGACCTGGAACAAGAATTCTTAATAAAACTAGGTAAGCAGTTAATTACAGTGAGAAAATGAAAGTGATACTTGGCAGATTGTTTCTAGAATTTGCTTTGCAATGTTAGCAATTTGAGTTTACATTTGTAAGCTTTCTACTTTTGTTGTTGAGGGCTGTGTTACAGTGCTAGATGAAATCTGTGCGTCTACTAAGAAATTTTATTAAATAATCCCAAATTGGAGGAAACCAGTCATAAAGGACTTTGAAGCAGGTGATAGTGATAGAAAACTACAATTCTCTTAGCCTCTCTTTACATTTTAGATGTTTTGTTTGCTAATGTAAATTCGGAAGGTCCCTAAATGTTGCCGATTTGAACCCACATAGGAGTATCCTTGAGACATATGCTTCTGTAAAGACAAACCCTTTGCCACTGATTCAATTCTGACTCATAGCAGCTCTCGGTGACAGAGTAAAACTGGCCCATAGTGTTTCTAAAGCTATATATGCTCTATGAAAATAGATCTAACACCTTTTTCCCACAGAATGGCTTTTGGGTGCCAACTCCTTACCTTTGGAGAGTGTAAAAAAGATCAAGGGGGAAATGTCTGACCTCTTTTGACTTCACAGGAGGGAAGGATAAGAATCACCACTAGCATCAGCCCCGGACCAATTCCTATGAAGTAGATTTAGACACGCCTTCACCCTCCAGCCTTTTTACCAGTTCGCACACCAACTATCCCTTTCACATCACAGAACTCACAGACCACACTTACAGTTTTGAAGTTTATTAGAGAAGGTAACAGGATACAATTCAAAATCAGGAATGCTCAGGTCCCAGTTCTTCTAGTCAAGACAGTTTCTTTTTGGCTATGCCCACAGGCACACTGCCCTCTTGGTTTTGGCTGCTTAACGATATGACGCCTTGGCCTCTGCTCTGCTCTGCTCAGGTAGTGTTACCAAGCTCTTGTAGTGCTGCAGGTAAATGCCCAAAAGGCACTTCACCCTGCCATAAGCCTCAGCCAAAGGCACTTAAATCTAGCTCTGTGAGTCAGCAAACCAATCTTCTGAAATTGAATGGTTGTAGGCCCCTGACTCGACAAGCGAGTTTTCTTCCCGGGCAGCAGGTAGCTTTACCAGCTCTGTGGGCTGGAAAGCCCACAGCTTTGTCTTGTCTTGTGCTCTAGCTCATACATCTGCTCTTGCTGCCATTCCTCTGACACTCTCTGCCCCTTGACTGAGGAGGTTCACTGTGCAGGGCTTTCAGGATCCAAAGTACACGGTCTACTCTTAGGTCTTCCTTCTGAAGGTTAGTAGTAATAGTTCCCCTTTCCTGCTTCTGAATTTTTATATCAAGTGGGGTGGCAAAATTGACCAATCCTCATGTTGGATTCCAAGTTTTTATAGTCACAAATAACCCTATCAACAGTCACTCACAATTGAGTCATAATTCTATCACCATTTTCCTCAATAGGAAAAAGTCATTTAGTGGGAGTTAAAAAGACGTCGTTCAAGGGAGGGGGGAGTAGGGAGGGAGGGGGGAAATGAGCAGCCGATATTAAGGGCTCAGGTGGAAGGCAAGTGTTTTGAGAATGATGATGGCAACAAATGTACACATGTGGTTGACACAATGGATGGATGTATGGATTGTAATGGGAATTGTATGAGCCCCCAATAAAATGATTTTTTAAAAAACGAGCTGATACCAAAGGCTCAAGTAAAGAAAATGTTTTGAAAATGATGATGGCAACATATGTACAAATGTGCTTGACATGATGGATGGATGGATGGATGGATGGATGGATGGATGGATGGATGGATGGATAGATTGTGATAAGAGCTATATGAGCCTCCAATAAAATGATTTTTTAAAATAAATAAAAACAAAGCCAAAGAAGAAGAAAAAAAAATCTATTGTTCACTCATTCACTGCTGTCAAGCCATTTTGCCTCACAGTGATAGCTCTTCAAGGCCACTTTCAAAGGAAGTTTTGATATTGGATTACTTATAACTTCTTGAAGTTAGTATCTCAAGTATTTGTGCCATTTTATAAAACCTTGTAAGGAGCCTTGGTGATGCAGTGGGTTATGTATTGGACATCAGTTTGAAATCACCATCCACTCTGTGAGAGAAAGATTAGGCTTTCTACTCCTGTAAAGAGTTGGTCTTAGAAACCCACGAAGATAGTTGTACTCTGTCCTGTGAGGCTGCTATGAAACAGAAAGACTGTGGTTAGAAGAGCCATGTTAAGTAATTCACTACCCTGTAGTTAGCAGGCAAGTTCTTAGCCATTACACCAAAATTATAGCCAAGAAAACTCAATGTGTTTCTAACACATGGAATTATCATGAGTCAGAATCAACTCAGTGGAGATGGGTTTTTGTTTTGTTTTTCGATATATGAAGTTTTCCATTCAAGTTCTTCTTAGCTATTATACATTGTGTGTTTTCAACAGGCATTATTTCTTAAGAAAAAAAGGGCAGGCTAGAAATTACAGAAGGTGGGAGTACCTACTAGAAATTGGTACCTGTCCTACAGAATTTCAGACCTTATTCACTGGCAGTTTTCTCTCTCTTTTGTATTTTCTCTCTTTAATCCTTCGGTCTTTCTAAGGACTAGAGAAACTGTTAGTAGACAATTACCTATGCACTTTCTCAGTATCCTCCTACAATTCTTCTTGGAGAAGAGTTATCTCTTGAATATCTCCCACTTGGGATTGTAGGAGACAACTAGCTTTGTCCTTAGAAACAGGTGTGACACGAGGTAACCATATCAATCTGGTTTGGTTTTTGATAACTCCTACCATGCTTATTGTTGTCATTTCAAAGTAACGTATTTTCAACACAGACTAATATTTTTCATTAGAGCATCTTTGCCCTCACATATGATATTAATTGTATAAGTTTACAGTATTGCATATCTGAAAATCTTTTCTTCACGGCGTTCGATTTTCCCTCTAAAGCTATTCTTTACCATATTATTAAATCTGGCCTATTAATAGATTTCTTTCTCCAATGGAAAATACTCTTTTGGAGCTTATAATTATTGTTACTTATTTGAGTATAATTCTTAAAGGTACAACTGTATAAATATTAATTTTTCCTACTGCTCATCCCCTAAAGGCTAACTGATTTTTCTTGGTCTTTGAACTTTGCCCCAAGTCATCTACTTTGTTTTCACTTTTCAGATTCCCATTGGTGTAAGCAAAGTGTTAATTTATTTACTGTGTATTTCACTAACTTTATTTGCTTTCAAATTGTGTTAGCCTTATTTCCAAATTTTTTGGTAATCTGTGTAGTATGCATGAGTAAATATTTTTGACACCTAGTTTGGTAGCAGTAAAGAGAACACTTGTGGTTTGTCCTATATAAATCAAAGGGCATTAAAGGGCTAGGCTTCCTGTGCGAAGCCTGTTTTTATTTAGAATGTAAGAGTGGGAAAAATAGGCCAGCATTTACAAATGAAACTTTAAAAGATGATAGCAATTATTATCGATATGGTCCCAAGCCTTCTCTATTTTCCTCCTAATTGTAGACTCTGTATGTCAGGAAGAAATTTCTCATATTCATGAGTACATCTTTATTAAATCTATTTCTTGTTGAAAGCCATTAGATAATATAGTATCTTGCCTTTGATTTTGATAGGGTTTTTTTCTCTTTTT